AGATGAAGGCTTACAGAACAAAATAGTTTCTCATTTAACAGTACACGTTGCCCTACGACAATGGTTAACAACCTCACAACACATCAACACTATCCTTACTCAGCCTTGGATTCCCTATCACCAGCTTCCCTGTCCCCTTCTGCCTTCTGGCCTTTGTCCCTGGGCTACTGTACCTCATTAGTCCCATCTGATTTTGTGGGGCTGTCCACTCCCCGGCTGAACGGTGAACCTCGGAAATGACTTCACCACTAATCTAAAAGGGGGTCTGGGGGCCATACTCTCGGGGTTTCTCCAGTCTCCTATAGGCCAGCAAATCTGGTCTTTTTTTGTGAGTTAGAATTTTGTTCTACATCCTTCTCCAGCTCTGTCCAGAACCCTCTGTTGTGATAAAGATCAAACTGTTTTGCTAAACTTTAGGGAAAATAAAATCCATTTAAGAATAACATGTATAAATAGAGGTCTGCTGATACACGGACCTGGAGGTATTTATCATTTTTCCCAGAGGGCCACTAAATTTACATAATTTCTGATTGGAATACTACTTTGAACTAATGACTGTCAATGTAGAAATGTAGATAGTATCTAGATTTGAGTATATTAATTTTTAATTCCAGAAGAGAAAACATGTAAAAGGCCTGCTCACTTTTGAAAAATAAATCTCTGTAGAACAATTACTTAAGGGAGCAAAAATTAGTTTGGCTAAAAAGTGGGGAATACAGCCTCTGTGAATCTCACAAGCTAGTTAAGTAGATACGACAGGAAGATATAAATATAAAACGAGAACACACATATTATGTTTGAGTAGAAGAGAATACCTTCTCTACGCCTTCTCTCAGGAATTTGAAGAAACTGACTGGGACTCTGCCCTAATTTTTTCTGAACAACAGGTAAACATGTACCAATTAGCGGCTTCCTTTTCAAAGGTGATTTGAAACAGTCTGCAGCAAAGAGATCCATTGGAGGAAGTCGTTCTGATTGCCAGACACCTCGGAGGATCGCACTGAAACCAACGGCCAGAGCAGAACGAACCTCACAGGAGGCTGAAGTGATACGCTGCGAGCTTCCTTATTCCCATATGCTGTCGTTAGGTGCCAGCGAGTCGATCTCTAACGCAGAGAGATCCCGTGTGACGGAGTAGAGCTGCCCCACAGGGTTTCCTAGGCTGTAATTTTAGAAACCTTGGCGGCTTAGGGGTTAAGAGTTCTGTTGCTAACAGAAAGGTCAGCAGTTCGAATCCACCAAGCGCTCCTTGGAAACTCTATGGGGCAGTTCTACTCTGTCCTACAGGGTCACTATGGGTCAGAATTGCCTCAATGGCAACGGGTGTTTTTTGTTTTTTAATATTTACGGGAGCAGATCACCAGGTCTTTCTCCTACAGAACCCTTGGGTGGATTTGAACTGTCAACCTTTGGATTAGCAGCCAAGGGTTTAACCATTGTACCAACATGTATTTGCCTATTTTCCCTTTACATCTTGCCTACTTCTGAGAACAGGATTCAGTTTGGTTGCTGCGTGGATCTTAGGTTGCTCTTAATGCAAACTTGGTTTCTGACCCAAATAGTTAACGATCGCTCAGAACTCAAATACAGGCTGCCCTCAACATAAAAACTGCTTTTGAACAAAAAGTTTGTTGGGAAGTATATTTTTTGGTAAGTTGGACCACATTTTCACAAAGAAAGAATGTAATAAATACAGTTGAGGCTCCCTGGAAGGCTCGTAAAGCCTATTTGATCTAGGAGGTAACAGAACTGCTTTAGACTTGCAATAAAATATAATTGGCTAAACCACATATGTAATGAAAACATAAAGCTGAAGAATAAATCATTTTTATTACAAATGCTAATACTTGAGAAATTAGATTTTATCTCAGCAAAATAATGGATTAATTAAAACTTTCTGGAACTTTGGTGGACACTTCAGAGCAATTTCAAAAATTTTATTTATTCAATAATTATTCAGCAAGCACCTATTATGGGCTGGGTATTGTCCTAGAGACTGTAGCCCTAAACAAGATAGATAAGATTCCTAAAAATTTTATTACAGC